AATTGTGGCTTAAAACAGGTGGCACATTACTCGCTGGCATCCGGAGAGCAGTGCTGCAGGGCAGCTTTCTCGGGCTTCTGCTGTACCGATGCTCTAGGCGTAGTTTCCTGGGATAGCGATGGGCTTTTTCCTGGAAGCCCCGGGTTTTTTTTCTGTTGCACTCCTCTGCTCTGGCCTGTTTTGTTCCGGGAAAAGAAACCAGCTTTGTCGTTTGTCACATCATATTGTGCTGCATGGAGCAGAAAGCTTTCTGCTTTGCCAAAAAAGCTTTTTCTGTTTAGCAAGGACATTTTCTAAGCATATTTTTTGTTATGTACTTTTCAAGGCAGTTTTGCCCTTTATTTCCCTTGTTCTTCACCATCCATGTGTCATCTAGACCTGCAAGTAAACTGGTTTTCATCCAAAGTAAAAACTGTAGGAGCTGATTTTCTCTGATTACCATCTTTAACCAGAGGAAGAAGTAAACTGTGAAATCTCCTGCTGTGGTGTTAGAGCCTGCTGTTTCTCGGGTCATAATGACACACTTTTTTGTGCGGATGTCTGCCTAATTTTTGGCGGCACACTGTGAAATAATATCTTACTTTGTAGAGAAGCATAGAGACTGTTTTTGGATCACATCACAAGAGACTTTTGTCGATTGGTTTTGACTCTATAGAACTTCCCTGTGATGTTTGCGAGACTTTGTTAGACTGTGATAACACTGCATTTTGTCAGCAGAGTAAAATTTCATGTAGCCAATCATGTTTCATCCAATACTCTTCTACTCTTGAAAAGGTTCTTTTGGTTTGAATTAATTGATCAGTCTCTCCGATCGCAAAGTTACTTCCCCCACATAAAGACAAACACATGGTCAGACTCCCTTAAATTGCGCACCAGTCAGGGGTTGCATCCTTCAAAGGACCCAAGTGAGAGGACATCCAGCCTTTGTAGCCTGTACCATCCCATACCCCTTCATTACTTAGCCCCACTCCTGTCATGCAGCAACATAAAGTTGTACCAAAGCCAACTAAAACAATTAATACCTGTAATTTAACCTATCAGCTGAAAGATGATTTGAAGATTCAAGGTTCCTTATGGTTTTGACGTCTGGATCACAAGCTATTTTAATAGAGATGAAACCCCTAAATACATGCCATAGTGTATTTATCAGCAGTTTGAAGTCTGTCATCTTGTTTAAATTGACTTATATTAGATCTCAGGATAGGTTGAGCTGTGAAGGACACACCCTGTACGACCTTGGAGGCCCAGATGAAAAAGAAAAGATTTGTCAGCCGTATGGGAAGAAGCCATTGAAGTGGTACAGCCTTCGATGCTGTAGCACAACCAGAAATTACATCGGCCCTTTGAAGGTTGTAGCCCCTGACTGAGACCACACAGGTTTAGCCTGACCTTTAGAAGTTCTTCTCAAATGTTTCACCTTTAGGAAAAATGATTATTTCATTCAATATATTTTTTCCCTGGCAATTAAGAGTGAGCCTCCTTTGGTTTCAGCTCTGTTTTTAAACCCTACCATCTACTGGTCAGAATATTTAAGTCCTCATCAGCTAAATGTTTGAATTAATAAGTCCACCAAAGGACATGTGGTTACACCTTGCCTTTCTCTACACATTCATACTGGTTAAAATGTTCAACATGTTGGTGCATTATTTTTAAAACAGCATTAGATGGAGGCAAAAAAGTCACACTGGAGGCAGACACATACCCCAGAAAACTTTGGTTTATCGTGAAAAGACAATAGGACTGGATGGGGGTGGTCAACTAAGTTATTCACATGCAGTACACAATTCATATATTGTGTATTTCCTGGATGTACGACTTTATGTTTATTAAGGATTATGATCTAAAACTGGGGAAGCATTAAGAAGAACGTTGGATTTCTGGTTTTTATTAGCTAAATAAACCAGAGAAAACTGTATATTTGTTGTCATTCTTTGTGTGATTGCCATAGTAATCAACCACAAACACAAAGGCAACTGAGGACTTGCATTCCTTTAGTTTGTCCTGCAAATCATCCATTCACTTAATGAGAGCATACAGGTTGGCCAATCTGCCAGGATTTTTGTTTTTCCTTTAGCTAAGCCCTGCCCACCCCAGATATACTGTTTCTTAACCCTTAAAGGGTCTATTTGACATGTTACTACTCAGACAGGTGACTGAAGGTAACATTTATTCACTGACCACAGAGGTTGCTATGTAAAGTACCCATCAGTATTGACTAATCCCATTCACACACATCGCTGTTACCGTCCAAGGACATGCTATGTGGACTGCAGGACCTGGACCACAAACCTTCCAATCAAGGAACAACCAAGTCTACCAATGAGGAACAGATGCCCCTAATGGACAAAGCAGTTAACTTCCCTGAAATCTCTGAGTTACACAGATTACAAAGTCGTTTTCTTCCCTTCTCTTTGAAGCTGCAAAGACTTATTTTCCTCAGTAAATTAAGACATTGGTTTTCAATCTGTTTGCACAAAGAGGAGCGCCAGTTAAATTGATGGAAGAACAAAACCACACTGTGCAAGAGAGGTCAGAAGCTGAGTGCATTTTATGATTGGATGGGGTGTGTAAACAAAACAAGGCGTTGAAAGCATAATAAACTACATTTTAGTGTGGTAGCACGTTAGCTGTGATTTGCTGCCAAGACTCTGCTATCATAGCTAAGCCTTCAGCTTCCTTCTATCCCAGGTTTTGGGGAGACTGATGTTCAGGTAAACGTATTTCATTGTCCCCTACTATCTGTTAATCACTGCCTCTCCTCCACAGAAAAAGAAAAGAGATTATCTTAGTGTCCTAGTGTTCATTGCTAACTGTAAGAAATAAGTAAATAACATCAGGCCACAATATCCTCACAGTTTTTGAATGATTAGTGCTAAAAATGAGACTAGATGTGTCAGAGGAAATACTTCAGGATGAGAAAAACCTTGTATCGGCTATAATAACAAGCTCATCATATTCCACGTATTGCACTGTAAATAACTTTTAAAAATTTTACTCAAGTTTGCCCTTAGAAATGATTTTATCTTTTAAATAATAAGTATAAATGTCATACTGAAAATTGCTACACTTACAGATCTCGATTACTATCACTTTCTTTTTTTTTTTAAATTGCCAGTTTTGTGTTGCCGGTTTTTGAGGGCTCCGACATACCTTGCATATCGGCTGAATTGCTCGACGTCACTTTGGAGATACCCTAACCATCACAAAACTGACATTGAATAACTTTTCTTCTCAACGATGGCATCTTCAGAGGATGACTCAAAGTCATGGGTAACATCTATTTTGTTGCCCTCAGCTCTGTGTTTAGCTCCACGTTTGTTTACTTTCTGTTTACTTCCCCTGTTTACTTCTCCAGCAGCATACTAAAGTGAGCAGGAAACCCTAAACTCCTCATCCAGTCCTCTCCCCCCTCCAGTAATAGCCCCCCCTCCCCTTCCACCCACCCACCCACGTTCCTGCTGTATCTTAACTCATCCTGTGGACATGTGCAATATGGTCACTGGACCTGGACCTTAGTCTAGCACTTCTGTGCAATATGGGCTACGTGCAATATTAATCTGACAGTATTGAATGCATTTATTTATCATTTATCGCTATAATACACATAATTATTTATTCAATTTCTAGCACTGACATGTTTACTCTGCACTCTGGTGAGATGCGAAAATACTTTTCACTGTACTGTACTTGTACTGTACATTGACAATAAATTGGATCTCATCTCATCTCATCTCAAAGCTTGACTCTGATTGGCTGTTGTCACGAGTGAGAATGCTCACAGCTGATCACCGTGATTGACCTGAAATTTATCACAATCATTAATCATGATTGCCCAGTCCTACCTCAGATAAAGGAGGAGGAGAGGACTGTGTTGGTCAAGCCAGTGTCCAGTTGCAGGCTTACATTATTAGAGTCAGACAAGAGGTCAGTTGATGGCTGTAAAATATTAATGGCAGTGAGCCTGGTATTTTCATCCAGTCTCATTCTTGAACAAGACCGTGAAATTCATTTTCATATATTAGGACAACAAGTTTGTGCTAGTTTGAAATATATTCCTCTTGCAAAAATTGCAAAACACACGAAGAAGAAGATAACACATAATGAAAACGAGCATAATTGATCTTATAAAAAATAAAGAGCAGCAGAAACAAGCAGACAAGTCCTTCCCTATGAATGATTCATAGACAGAGATAGAGTTCCCCAACTCCTTCACATTTTTATATTCTCTGAATAATGAACTGTCAGCATTCAAGGAAAACTATTACAGAATCTTTAATGCACTTCAGCTCGAAGACAATTTTCTGTCTGCGTATGCATCCTCTCCATAAGGCCGCTCAAGTTTTTTTCTCCTCTCTGCAGTGGGATTTATACTTGCAGATCTTATCTGTTTGCACTTAAATATAAAGCCAAATGGATAAAGTTTGTGTGGGCCTGCTCAACAGTGAAAGGGCTTTGAAGAACTGGCTCCTCAGCTGAACAAAGCAGACATTGTAAGGAATAAAAAGTGTAGATTAAAGTGACATCAAGTGAAGCCTTCATTCCTGGTGTGCTGCCAACATCACACTCACACGCCAAGGCCTTGTCTGGTTTTCTTATTCTCTGCTAAAAGGGTTCTTATACGATGGGTCAGTAAACAAAGTGGGTTGTGAGCCAATAAACGGTCCCTACATGGAAGGAGTGGGACTATTTCTCCCCTTAATTGCACTTGGTGTCAGAGTGAAAGAGGTCACACTTATTATTTAGTTGCTAAATTTTAAAGCTACTAATTCTAAACTATGTTTGGGGAGCTGTTATCACTGTACAAACACAGAGTCTTTCAAACACACACAACAAACACAGTAATTCAGGATTTCTATGCATAATGCCAAAGTTAGTTTAAGATTTGACCAATGCATTTGCTATCTGAGGAGTAAGACTGCATGTTTTTCCTTTTCTTCCAATTAGTTTTTTTTTTTTTTTAAACAAAAAGCAACATTAGACAACAGGCATTCAACAACACATCCTGATTAACTCTGCACCATGCATTTGGACATTGCTTTACATCTTTAAAATCAATGTCCAAATGCATGGTGCAGAGTTAGTCAGGATGTGTCTGGACACATTGTCCTATTTAAGTAGTGCACAAGCTAAGCCCAGTCCAAGGTGTCTTAATAGCCTTGGTAACTGGTGAGTTTTAGGCATAACATGAATTTGACGAATCATTCTCTTTAGGAGTCAGGTGTGCCTGCAGGAAGATATGTTACTACTCCAACAGCAGATTTGAGCCTTTTTACTTATATGGACCAGGCTTGAACCAGAAATGTAAACTTGTCTTCTACTACTTTACCCCCTAAAATGCACGCACACACACGCAGGTTAGCATGTAAGGTATGTTGGTACAGGAATTGACGTTAAATCTGAAGAAACAATCAGAGACTTTCCAAATTAAAAGATGTGTGAACATTGCAAATTCTGTTTTTTTACACAAGTAGTTTAATAGTTCACAACTTATAAACCTTATTTTTGTAGCTTTCAAAGCCATGTTCCTTCTAACCTTATCAAAAGTATCGTCTGTGCCAACAGTCGAGTCACTCAAAAAGGGTGCTTCAACTTCCAGCTACCCCTCTGAGCAGTGTTTAAATCCGCCACAATTTTTTGGTTTGTTACATCCCCATCTAGTGCCTGGTCATCTGTTTAACTATGCTGAGGCTTCACTTTGGCCTTCTCTGAGACAAAAAACAAGAAACCTATTTGCAAGAGAGTTTTGTGTTCGCTGAAAAATCATACTTAAAACTAGCTAGTAGTTGTTGACATCTGTTTAAAATGTGCTGGCACAACAACATATTTTGAAGCAATATTTCAGAGAAACAGAGACATCTTTATACTTGACAACGCCACACTGTCTTGTATCGTTCCATCAGCCAGTCACTGTTGGAAGCATGGTAGAGTGTATTTGTCTGATTGCCAGTTGGAGAGGATTTAATAGATTCATTTTTAGATTTTTTAGATTCAAACCCTTTTTTAAACCGTTAGAGTGGAGAATTCCTTAAAGACCCACTCCAAAGAAAATCATGCTTTTCGTATTGTCTACATGTTCACATGGCATTTTTCTGATGCTACAGGACATATCATGTAGATAATAAGTGCGGAATTACATTTTTGAGTATTCCTGCATTCAAATCACTGTGAATTTCTGGCAGACCGAAACAGCAGACTCAGATACAGTGAGATTTCCTATGTAGCAAATCCAAACACTGCTCCCTGAGCCCCACTATGCAGGCCAGACTTGGAAAAGTAAAAGGCACGATTGCAGAATAAGTATGTGTGCTAGTGGATTGCAATTCTCATAAGAAAGATAATTTTAATATTAAATTTCATCATGTCCCTAGAGACACTAGAGTCCAAGAGCTGAATAGCTCCCATGTTACCTGCCAATTCTACTACACCGGCAATGTTAGGCTGCAAACTAACGCGAAGAGGAGTGTGCAAAGCAGCACTGTCTCCGCCCATGACTCAGAGGTGAATTGCTAATGAGCTACTACAGCTGTACAGAAGAAAAGCCCTTGAAAATTACAGAGGAATGTAATTTTGGCTGAAAACTTTATAATCACAATTAAAAGACCACTGATCACACTTTAAGTATTAAAAAAAAAAACGGAGTGGGACTTTAAAAAGTTGAGGAGACCCCTAGTGTGGGAGAAAACTAATTGAATGAAAAAATGAAATAACAGGTGAGAAAATACTTGCTTCATAATTTAGGTTGTTGTAAACACACTTGCCTTCAGTCTGGAGTGAGATGGACAGCAACATAAAGATGCAAAACGTATTTCTGCTTCCTGTGGTTTCCTATGACATGTTGCAAATGATGAGAAAATTCCAGGAATTGGAAAAATTGTGGGTAAAGGTCAACATTTTTTTTTTTTTTTTTCAATTGATGCTGCCTTTGGGGAAGCCTTTGTCACTTAAAATAGTTGCTTTCTATCTGTGAGCTAAGCTAGGTAGACTTGCAAGTATTATTCTCTCCTCTTGATCGTCTGTGATGACGTATTTGAATAGAGGTGACACCAAAGAAGAAAGTTGTTGTGCTTTCCTCTAGACTTCTTTATATACAGGCTGACTTACAAATAATTTCTTTGAGAAAAATACCACAGGTCAGAGAAAGGTCAGACTTCTAAAAAATTAGCGACTTAAGTTCCTGCCTGACTAAAAGGAAATATTTTTTTCATATTTCTTGCTCATTAACAAACAAACAAATAGGATCAAACACACATGCATACTTGGGAGGCTACAGTACTCATTAATAGAGGGAGAAAACTATATTTAGGCATAAACTGAGCAGCTAAATTCAAAGTGTCCGGCTGGCTTTTTTAGCACAGTGTTTCTTTTACAGGATTTAATAGTTTGTTTCTTTAGCCCTCTTGTTTTGACTTTTTAGACATCCAACCCAGCAAACTCTGCTTCTACTGTTTGCAACCGAGCAAACAATTAAAAAACAAAGCAGACAAGAACAAACACAATCAAACTGTAAGTGTGGGGTCAGACCTTGACTTTCTTGGAAGTGAATCTGTTTGTAGACAAAAAGTAAATGTTAATATGAGATTAAAAAAAAGAGCCTCCTCAAATAAGCAGCTAGTTTCTGTCCAACTCTCAGCTCCCTCAGCTCCAGTGTTTCTTTCTACACTGAACCTTTCACTGCTGTAGAGCTGATTTTTTCTCTACTGTAATTATTCAGCATCACACGAAGCCTGCAGCTAGTGTGCTGCTGAACCAAACAAAAACAAGAAATATCCAGTGTCAAACAAAAACAAGACCAGAGCAAAAGGTCAGAAATCAAAAGTGTTTATTGGTGAGGAAGAACCAAACTGAGAACAAAATGGGAAGAGATGTGGACTCAAAACCACAATAACCCCCAACCTGCAGTCTATGGGGCACCAGTAAACGGCAGTGAGCAGTGGAATTGGCATCCAGTGAGGAAGATGAGGTTTCTGCTGTGCAGCCAGCTCCCTGCCTGTCCACTGTTTGGACAAAACTCAACACTTAAACTCCTATCACTGTTTTCAACTGAGAAAAGCAAACCACAAAACAGAAAATGTGTATATACAGCCCACTGGCGAGTAAAAGGCCAGCCGCCAGCAGGATTCAGCAGTGTTATTTTAGGAGTTTAGTAGAAATAAATGTGCAATATTTGTTTGGTTTTTCATGTCAATTCTGTCTCTTTTGACACTGCAGGACTTTAAACAGCCTAAAAGTGCTGACTCGTTTCATATCAAATCAAGATTTAGAAAAAAGCACTATGAAATAACGTCAAACAAAACTCACAGTGAAAGCAACAGGTTTAGCTTCCTAATGAAAGCACATTTGAAAAATCATATATGAGAGGAGTATTTTACTGAGCTCTTTGAAAGAAAGGATTGTATTTTCAAACTACAGAACCAGTCAGGATTCATTATAATGACTTAGTTTACATAGTCAGATCTACAAACACTGGTTTTGATAATAAGAAATAAAAGAAGTATTTCACAAAAGATATACCTGAATTATTTTTCTTTTCTTGATGTAGAAAGTCAGACTGGTACATTCAAAGCAAGACAACAACTGATAGCTGCCAGGTTTTCATTCCCTCTCATGCTGATAGAAACACTTGGAAAACCTTTCTGATCCCACTTTAATAGCTTGACATGGTTTTTCAGATTAAAAAAAAAAAGCGTCATGATTCTCACACTGGTGTCTTAAGAAACTCTTATTTCAGCATGGTCAAGAGCAGAGCCCACCCCCTATGTTGTGGCCATGTTAAACTATCGAGTAGGGCAGCGTCATTCTGCTGTGCCAAAAGGACAGATGAACTAGTTAAGAAAGCCTTGTGCAATGACCTCAGTAATTAAAGGGATATTCCATCGTAAATTTAAGGTATGATCAAACACACTGTTACACCGAGTTAGACACCTCCTCGAAAGTTAAATATTGCCAACCCTTTGCTTCTCCAGTTACACCGACTTTAGTAATGACCGCACAATAGCAATACACAGAGGTCGTTACTAAATGACTTACTAAATGACTCCACACACAAACCTCAACCAAAGAGCCACTCTAAGCCAAACATAAAGCTCAGAACAGCACCTTACTTCATCAACAGTACATATAGAGTCCCAGCGATATTACTAGCCACCAAACATCTTTTTAGTTTTGCCTGGTTTCTTTAGCAAACACAACTCACCCACTTTCTTCCAGCAGCTGCTTGTTTGTGGGGAAGCCCAGTGGAGTCTCGCAGCTCAAGGAAGAACATGAATGATCATTGAGTCATGGAAATGCAATCAGACTGAGATGCTAAGGAGAGCTACCACGTCTGCAGTACAAAATGATTATAATGATGGTTGTTACTTTGAGGAAATGATCCACTGTACCCAACTGGGACCCTATATGTACTGTTAATGAAGTTAGGTGCTGTTCTGAGCATTAATTTGTCGCTATAGAGTGGCTTTTTGGTTGAGGTTGTGCATGGAGACGTAGGTTGCTGTTTATTGCTATCGTGCGGTCATTGCTGAAGTTGGTATAACTAGAGAAGCAAGCTGTCGACATCATTCATCTCCCGAGGGGGTGTCTAACTCAGTGTTATGGTGTGTTTGCCCCTAACTTAGTTTTATGCTGGAATATCCCTTTTTGCAAGCTTCATAGAGTTGCAACCCTGTTACACTCATACACTTCTGTTTTTTATTTAAAGGTTTGTGTTTTATGGCTGGAAGGTATCTTCATGGGACAGCTCTGCATCTCGTCACACTTGTTCTGGAGTACCAGCCTCTTATATGGCAAAGGCTGATCTGCAAGACATGACCTGGCCACCCACAAGAAACCAACACAGCCTTCCCCAGAGCTAAACCCATTTGCCAGATTGACTTTATATATCCAAATAACCATGTAAAAACCACCTTACCAGTGTGCCCGTTGTAAAGACACGCTTTGACACTCGTGTTTCCATTGTTCCCTTCGTCTCTAGTGGAGTGTGTCATGCTGCAGTCCTCTATTAGAGCTCACAAAGCTCTGCTGTACATAGATAGTTTGAAAATCTTGCCCTGTTAAAAAAAGACTCACATTGAGGTACAGTAATGGCCCA